GATGAAAGAACCGGCTTGTTGGTAGGCAGCCTGATCAATCAGGAAGCCGGGAGGCGAGTCATGACGTGATTTGTTAGGAAGCCAGACTGCCTACCAACAAGTGATGGCTTCCTGATTGGAAAAGAAGCCGGCTCCATGCTCCCTCGGCACTGCCGGTCAGAGGGAGATCCCCCTCTGACCGGAAATTCCGGTACCGGAGCATTTGGGCGAGTACGGTATCGGTGCATCCCTACAATCAAGACATGCTGGAATGGTAATTGGCTCCGGTTTAAATTGGCCCCTGTATGTGTATACGAGATGGGGACCTCAGCTCCTCGGGGGCAGGGACTGATGTGAATGTGCGGTATGTAAATCACAATGAAGTGTATGGAGACACACAGTGGTACAAGGTGGACGGACGCCATAGAATGCAGACTCAGACAATAACATACTTCATAGATCGCTTTACTTTTTGCATTGAGAGCGGCAGAACTCGGATCCACCTGGTAACAAACAATATTTTTATGTACAATTCATCTTAGTGTTAGTACAGTATACCCCCCTCCCCCATGGCATCGCACCGATCAGCGGAGGAGAGAGGGGGGTGGCTGTGCCCGAGGGCTGGCGGGAAATATAACCACTAGCAGTGATGAGACGTTAGCGGGATTCACCCCAACAATTACAGAAGCACCAGTCTGTGTAACAGAGGAATGCCATAATATACACTAGAGGCTCCTTGGTGGACAGTGGCAGCTATGGAAATATACACTTCAAAATGGCAGCCATATTCCATTCACTCTTAGCTCCTTCTTGCTTCTCTGCGCTATTCATATCAGTAGGCCGGAAAGACGGAAGGCGAGTCAGGAATCGGCACAGCGATGGAGAACCCAACATGAGATGATCGGGAGGATGAATACATGAACTTGACTTGATCGTTGAGGTGACTGGATGGGTAGAATGTCTTGGGTCGTGGCCAAGTTGACTGGATGAGTAGAATGTCTTGGGTTGTGGCCGCAGTGACTGGATGGGTAGAATGTCTTGGGTTGTGGCCGCGGTGACTGGATGGGTAGAATGTCTTGGGTTGTGGCCAGGCTGACTGGATGGGTAGAATGTCTTGGGTTGTGGCCAGGCTGACTGGATGGGCAAAATGTCTTGGGTTGTGGTCGGAGTGGTTGGGATTTGATGAGGTTGGAGCAGCGGAGGGGGTATTGGGGAGGGAGACAGATGGACACAAAGCACACAGATGGAGGCCTCACAAGGGATACAGAGCTATCAAACAGTCCGGACTCCCATTGGGCCATCACAGTCAGAGGGAGGAATAGAGAGTGCAGATTTCTATGACAAATCCCGGATGAGGGTCCTTATTTTCTGCACTGCAATGCGTTACCCCTTCCAATAGGACAGATGGTATCCAGAATCTCTACAAAATGAAAGGAATGGAGATGATGAGGAGTCATGAATGCACAACCATTATCCAACGTCATGGTACCCAACTGGCCATGGCCTAGACACACCCCGGGTCCCAGACTTGCCAATCAAACTCAAACCTGTACAGCACAATGACAGACGACACCCAATGTCACTTGATGTACAGAGCACGTAATGAGATGCAGAGCATGAGATGACATCTGTTGGATTATAATCAGTAACACCCGGCCCAGCTTTGTGTTTTACATCGGAGGACCCTGCCAAATGTCTCCAATGGCCCATGTGACTGTCACAGCCAGGAAGATTCTTCCAAATCACAACTTCTATTAACCATTTTGGTGCAAACTACGGGGCCAATTTAGAAAGATCGGCACAATCCTAATGGGGGGGCTTCTCTTATATCCCTAAATTCTGCATTAAGGAAAGTTTATAGGTCTGTAGTCCCTCCCGGACCCCAGGAGCCTTCTTAGGTGAGAAGTCAATTGGCTAAGTTTAATTTTTTCTTGGCTAATGGCCCTTCTCACCTCATACAAATGTACTGTATATGACGATCTGAACATGTATGTCTGTACCTCAATTTTTAAGGTCAATCAATGGCCTGACCATTAACGTCTCCATTTAGTTTAGTCTTTACAAGTAATCACATGACGGACTGTCCAGCTGCAGTTCTGGAGGGCCATAAAATGCACCAAGATTTGGTGACAAAAACGATTGCTTGAAGAATTGTTCATTAGTAAAGGAAATGGTACAGCGATGATACAAGATTCACCTGGTCCGGCCAATATCACAAGCAAACAAGTCTCCCCCCAGCCCACAAGTCCCAAGAGACTACCATGCCTACTCCAGCCAGCCAGTCCCAAGGGACTACCATGCCTACCCCAGCCAACCAGTCCAGAGGGACTACCATGCCTACTCCAGCCAACCAGTCCCAAGAGACTACAATACCTACCCCAGCCAACCAGTCACGAGTGACTACCATGCCTACACCAGCCAACCAAGCCCAAAGGACTACCATGCCTACCCTAGTCAACCAATCCCGAGATACTGCCATGCCTACCCCAGTCCCGAGATACTACCATGTCTACCCCAGTCAACCAATCCCGAGGGACTACCATGCCCACCCCAGCCAACCAGTCCCAAGAGACTACAATACCTACTCCAGCCAACCAGTCACGAGTGACTACCATGCCTACACCAGCCAACCAAGCCCAAAGGACTACCATGCCTACCCTAGTCAACCAATCCGAGATACTACCATGCCTACCCCAGTCAATCAATCCCGAGGGACTACCATGCTTACCTCAGTTAAACAATCTAAAGGGGATGCCAAACCTACACCAGTCAACCAACCCAGAGGGACTACCATGCCTACCCTAATCAACCAATCTCAAGGAACTACCATGCCTACCCCAGTCAACCAATCCCGAGGTACTACTGTGCTTACCCCAGTCAACCAAGCCCGAAGGACTGCCATGCCTACACCAGTCAACTAATCCAGAGGGATTACCAGGTCACCAAGCCACAGGGATAACCAGTCAACAAATCCCTGAGGGACTACCATGCCTATCCCAGCCAACCAATCCCAAGGGACTACCATGCCTACCCTAATCAACCAATCTCGAGGAACTACCATGCCTACCCCAGTCAACCAATCCCAAGGGACTACTGTGCCTACCCCAGTCAACCAAGCCCGAGTGATTACCATGCCTACACAAAGCAACCAATCGAGAGGGACTGCCCTCTTATGTTTTTAGGTAGCAGATGTGTGTAGAAGAAGCTGATGTTCAAGGATTGCACTCCACATCTGTTTTTAGACATAATGAACCAGAATTAACAGATACCTGGATCTCGGGGTGCGCTGGCCGTTCTGTGATGGTCAAATTTTCCAGTTTGCATGGAGTCCAGAAGTCATCCAGTTCGGAGAAAGGACGATCCGTGAAGCTGGGACCAGGGGGGGCCGAACCCTAATAGACAGCACATGCAAATTACATGCGGCACAACACGGTACATGCAACAGACAGAACACATATACAATCAATTGGGGGAAAAAACGATCAGACAGAGCCATGAAGAGAACAGAAAGGAGAGAAAAAGAGAGTTGTTACAATGCGCCCATTAACCAAACTTCAACATTGGGACTGTTGTGTCCCTGGCTGCTCACAGTGCTGCCCCAATATCACACAGTCCCATTATTCCACCCAACCCACTAAAGAGATCTGCCAGTGTGTGCCACGGCTACAATATTACCGACCAGATTCTGCTTTGTTCTCATAGATATCAACTTGAATTTTGTAATCACAAATCTAAGAGACATTTATCTACAGAAGTCCATAATTCCAGAAATGCTCCATTATCCCCCGATACCGATAACACCCATCACCTCCCACCAGTGCTTGGCGTCTACATGGAATCAGAAGGTTCTCTCCACATTCCTAAGAGTTACCTCCCTCCCACAATCTATCCTCATCATAGAAGGCCTCTGACTACACTGGCCCTAAAACATGTGACATGTGCTACTGTGACATTAGAGTGTAAGCTCCTCTGTACAGAGATTGATGTGACTGTGGGGGGGGGGACATTAGAGTGTAAGCTCCTCTGTACAGAGACTGATGTGACTGTGGGGGGGGGACATTAGAGTGTAAGCTCCTCTGTACAGAGACTGATGTGACTGGCTCAGTGCTCTCTGTACAGCACTGTGGTATATGTCAGACCTATATGTATGTATAATATAGTGTGTGACATTGTGATGGGACATTAGAGTGTAAGCTCCTCTGGTGCAGAGACTGATGTTGATGTGATTGGCTCAGTAGTCTCTGTTCAGCACTGTGGTATATGTCAGAGCTATATACATGTATATTAATAGTGTGTGACTGTGGGGAGCATTAGAGTGTAAGCTCCTCTGGTGCAGAGACTACTATGAATGGCTCCTTGTTCTCTAGTGTGTGATTGGTGGATTCAGATAGAGGGCATCACTGCTCCTTACACCGGGGGTTCTGATATTCTATTTCAGTGTACACTGCAGCACATTAAAAGGCATTGAAAAGCTTCCGCACCAGATCACTCTATAACCTGCTATAGCCCTGCAATGAAGATTACAAGAAATTAGAAAGGGTGATAGGTGAAAAATGATAGGAAAAGAAGATGAAAAGACAAGCTGATTGGCTGAGAGGAAAAAGAGAGGTGTGGCAGGTCATTTGTTGGGTGCCGGGAATGAAGACTTACAAGTGTGTGCTTTGCGGCCTCTTGGGGGAAGACATGAATGAAGGACACACGGGAGGGTTGAATAGAAGGGTCAGCGTGGTGCAGTCAGGGTAAAAGTCTTTGTGGTTCAGGATTCAACAGGCGGATGATCTCTTCTGCACAGATTGCTCAGGAAGGAGGTTGTCGTCTTTGTCGGGTTACGAGAGGAGATGCGGAGAGCAGGAGGTAGGTTCGCCATGGATGAGAAAAGAGGCAGCAATTTGAGATGGGAGGCTTCCGAATCTGTAAGCTTGAACCATTGGGGGTGCCGGATGGCTAAACATGTTCGTAAAAAAGAGGTGCTGGAGTGAGGTTGCGAGTGTGGAATCCATTCTCGGCTGCTGGCGGTGGGATTTTCTGCTCTGCATAGATCTCCCTAAACTAGTACGTGAGTAGAGTTTCCTCGCAGGACAATAGTGTTCTCATCGTCATCTCTCGATATACAAATCACATGGTAAGAACATGTATATATTAATATTATGTTACCTGGTTTAAAATGGGTTTTTTTTTTTATGTGTGGCTTTTTGGTTAACATTTTAGGCACTGCTTGAAGTAAAATTTAGAAATACGTTGAAAGTTTTATGTATATATATATATTTATAAAATAAAAAGTCCATTAAAGCTTCACCACATGCAGAGCAGGAAAAGGGTGTTCAAGTTCATGGATTAAGGGTAGGGTGGCGGTATTGCGGTTTCTATACAAGGCTGGGCAAGAGAGCTGGCAAAATGTTGAACCCCATGTTTGACTCTTGGCTGCAAGTTTGACTTAAATTTAACAGTGCTTTTGCCAATTCGGAAGTGTCGACTGGACCGCCCTGTGGCCCACTGGTGTATCTTCGGCCATAGTTGGATGAAGAATATGAGGAAGACGAGAAAGTCATGGAGAAGCCGGCGTTGCCGGTGGCATCGATGCTACCTCTTCGTGAACCGGATCTGGATCCAGTTCGAGAACCTGATCGGGACCCCGAGGCTGACCCGGAGCCGCTAGCATTGTAGGGGCTGTAGTAACCTTTGGTGGATTGTGAAGCTGCTTCAAGTAGTCTCAGACCTGTGCCATCCTCTACCATGCTCTTCTCCATGGCTTCTTTGTAGGAAATCTTAAGCTTGGTTTTTGGGCAGGTCAGGTACTTAGAATAGGTGTTGACATCCCGCAGTTTTTGGGCTGTGCGGGCATCGATCGTGCCTTTGTGAAGAGCCTCGTCTAGATTGACACGACCTTCGACATCAGGTTCAATAAGGCCACCAGTGAGATACTGAACTTCAAGGAATCGTTGTCCGGCTTCGTAATACAGCCAGCCTTTTTTCAAAGCTTGGGCTGCTGACATTTTGGTCTTTGTTCTTGGATCTTCGAACCCATTGAAGGCTTTCTGTGCCAGATTGATTCTGTCCACCATGATTTTGTCCACTAGGCCTTTGTTGACCGCATCGGCAACCGCAAACTTTTCTCCTGTGATTGGATCGATGATGCCTCCTGTACATGCTTGAGCTTCCAGAAGTCGCTGACCAGTGATGTTGTCTACAAGGTTGCGATGCATGGCTTCAGTGATTGATACTTTTTCTAGAGTGTCTGTGTCTACTATCCCAGCAATGGGCCCTGTTTCTTCACCGGGGTCACTCCAGGATGATAACTGACCTCTGCCAGCTGGGCTTGAGGTGACAGAGGAGGAAGAGCCAACAGAGGAGGACCTTGATCTAAATCCACCCATGTTTCCTGAGAGCATGTCAGCAAACTCTGTAATCGATAAGGTTCCTGAGCGATACTGGTCTAGAGAAGACTGGTCAATTAGAGCTTTGGCAAGGGCATCATCGATATCATACTGTCTTCCTGATCTTCTGTCGGTGATTATGGATTTTGCTACACCATCTGATGAGGTGATCGTGACCTCTTCCCATTCGCATTCTTGCTCAGACAGTTCGATATAGGTCTGGTGATCAATAAGTCCTTTGCGGTAAGCTTCATACACAGACATTTCTTTGCCGGTTTCTGGATCGACAATGACAACCCTTCGCTTGCGAACTGAGGACTTGGAGGAGGTCTTCCTTTCCCGTTTCTTTTCTTTTAGAGGCAAGAGAACCAGACCAGTTTCAGGATCAGTAATGCATCTCTCCATAAGCTGAAGATAGGTCAGATTTTCTTCTGTGTTGGGGTCAAAGAACCCTTTAGTGTCATCACTTGGATCAGAAAGAATTTCATTCATTTCTTCATCAAACAGACCTCTTTTATAGGCCATCTCTACTGGCAAGCGATGGCTTTCCTCTGGGTCGATGATACCACCTGTGGCAATCTGGGCTTCCAGCAAGCGAATACCATGATCTTTCAAGATGAGACCTTTCTTCATGGCTTGGAAAAGAGATATAATCTTCCCGGAATAGGGGTCCTTATAACCAGTCACGGCTCGCTCGGCTGACAATAGCTTGTCTTTAAATTCGGTCCCCACGATACCCATCCTCACGGCATCCTCAACTGCCAGCTTCAGACATTTGATGGGATCAATCACATAACCTGTGGCTGCTTGGGCTTCCAGAAGTTCAAACGCTGTGCCCGGTCTGATCATTCCTTTCTTCATAGCTTGGTAGATGGAGTATCTGTCTTTTGAAGCTTCAACATAGACACCAGCGATGCAACTGGTTCCCTCCAAAAACTTCTGCAGGTTTCTTGAGACTTCCTCGATGGAGGTTAGTCCGTCTTGTAGACGCTGCGCTGTGATTGCATCCATAACATTTGATCTTATGAGTTCCTCCATAGTAATCTCTTTCCTCAAACCCTTGAAAGTAAGCTTTCTCTTGTCTGCAAGAGGCAGAATGTAGAGGTTGCTGTTTTCATCTCTTCTGCATCTTTTCAAAAGTTGAGAGTAACTGAGCTTCTCATCAGTGGAAGGATCCACATAACTACGGATTTCACTTGGTTCGGATAGCATGTCCAAGGTTTCTTTGTTGAGATATCCACGCATATATGCAGTTTCATTTGGGATGTGGAAGCCAAATCGTGGATCAATGACACCACCTGTAGTCAGCTGAGCGTCCAGCAGTCTCAAAGCTTGATCAGAGGGGATTAGGTCTTTCTTCATTGCCTGGAAGATGGAAATCATTTGTTCTGTGTAAGGATCCCTGTAGCCAGTGACTGCTCTTTCAGCAGATAAGAGGCGGTCATGAATTTCAGGTCCTACCACACCTTTTCTGACGGCTTCATCCACGGTTAGCAACTCATTCTTTACAGGATCAATAATAAATCCGGTGGCAGCCTGAGCATCAAGAAGAACATGAGTCACATCAGCAGAGATCAGCCCTTTCTTCAAGGCCTGGTAGATGCTGATGGTGGCTTTAGAGCCCGGCATTTGGAAGCCTGCAACACATCCGGTGCCATACAGGTACCTCCAGACACTCTCAATGGTGATAATTTCTTGAATGGTCTTTGTTCCCTGTTTCAGCATGGTGTACATTTCCAGAGTGATGAGTTTAGACTCGTACAAATCTTCAGCTGTAATGCGTCGACGGACAAAGTCATAGGAATACAGTTCTTGTTCTCGGATTATTTCAGTCTTCTCAATGATCTCGATGATGATGATAATCATGCGTTCCTTGGTCAGTCTACCAGCTCGGAACTCCGCCATCAACCTGTCTCTCTCCTCCTTAGGTAGAAGATCAGACTGCATGAGCTCCCAAATGGTCATCGAGGAGCCCGCCATGCTTCCAGCAGGGATGTCCACTGTTGTGTCTTCAAATACCTTCTTGGTCTCTTCCTCGGTATAAGCTTTAGTGGCCTCGGCTGTAGGTTTTTCCACTTTCTTTAATGTTAGGAGATTGAGGCCCGTTTCTGGATCTTTAAAGCATCTTTCTTTCAGCTGTAAGTAAGTTAAATTTTCATGTGTATTGGGGTCAAAGAATCCTTTAGTGTCATCTGTAGGGTCAGAAAGGATCTTGTTCATGGCTTCATCAAAGTAACCGCGTTTGTAGGCAACGTCAATGGGAACACGGTGGCTGTGAACTGGATCAATAATGCCACCTGTTGCGACCTGTGCCTCCAAAAGGCGAATTCCATGGTCTTTGAGAATAAGGCCTTTCTGCAATGCTTCGAACACGGAGATGGTATTCCCAGAGTAAGGATCTTTGTACCCTGTTACAGCCTTTTCAGCAGAAAGAAGCTTTTCATGTAGTTCAGGTCCAACAATGCCGGCCTTCACTGCTTCATTCACATAGAATTTCTGGTTCTTTACAGGGTCGATAATAAAACCGGTGGCAGCTTGGGCCTCCAGAAGGACCAGGGCTGTTCCTGGCCTCAGCAAATTCCTCTTCATAGCTTGGTAGATGTTCATTTTTTGTTTATTCTCTTCTAGAAGAACGCCAGCTATGCATTCACTGCCCTGGAGATATTGCCTCACTGAATCAATCTCCGTTATGTCTTTTACGGACTTCTTGCCTTCTTGCAGTTGCTCAAACTGGGTCTGGTCAATAACCTTGGATTCCAGCAGTTCGCTGGCAAGGACTGGAGCTCGAAGACCTGTGAATGTGAGACGCTGCTGTTTCTTGGTCTCTGTTTCCTCTATAATGGTAATCATGATTTTGATGATTTTCTCAATTGTGACTTTCCCAGTCTTATACTGACGGATCAGTTCCCTCCTTTGCTCTTCAGAGAAGTATTCAGAATGTATCAATTCCCACAAAGTGATGGTCTTTCCTTTAAAGCTACCAGCGGGCACTTCAACGGTTGCCTTTTCAAAGGCGTCCTTGGCTTGAGAGTCGGAGTAAACCTCTTCTAACTGGGATTGTATGGCTTGTTCAGAGAGCGGCAACAGCAAGTGACCCGTTTTCTTGTCAACTCGGCATTTCTTCTGCAGCTGTGCATAGGACAGGTTCTCCTGACTGTTTGGATCATAAAATCCTGTGTTTTCGTCGGCAGGTTCGGACAGAAGTTTAGTCGTTTCTTCATCCAGGTGACCTCGTTTATAAGCGATCTCAAGAGGAAGGCGATGACTGTTTACAGGGTCGATGATGCCACCAGTGGCCAGCTGAGCGCTTAGGAGTCGGAGTCCGCTGTCTTTGGGTATGAGCCCCTTCTTTAGTGCCTGGAACAGGGACAGAGCTTGTCCTGTGTAAGGATCCTTGTAGCCAGTGACAGCCTTTTCAGCAGAAAGCAGCTTTTCATGGTACTCTGGCCCAACAATTCCAGCTTTGACAGCTTCATCTACTGGTAACAGCTCTTTAGTGACTGGGTCAATAATAAATCCAGTACCTGCCTGGGCTTCAAGCAGGCTAAGAGCTGTTGCTGGCTTCAGTAGGTTTCTCATGATTGCATCATACAAGGTTTGTTTCTCGCCAGTCTGTTCCACTTGCACTCCAGCAATGGCTGTGCTTCCAGTCAGGTATTTCTTAATGGACTCTAGGTCGGCCAGTTCCTTCACTGTCTTCTTGCCCTGGTGCAGCTGGTTGAAGAGGTCCTTGTCTATGATTTTACTGTCTACAAGTTCTGCTGCTGGGACGGGACTTCTAAGACCATCAAAACACATTTGCTTCTTGGTCTCGTTTTCTTCGACCACCGTGATGATGATCTTAATGATTTTCTCCACTGTGATTTTGCCAGTCTTGTACTGACGCAGCAGTTCTCGCCTCTGCTCCTCTGTGAAGTATTCCGAATTGATAATCTCCCATATGGTGACGGTCTTTCCTTGGAATTTTCCAAATGGAACAGACACAGTGGCTTTCTTGAAGACATCTTTGGCCTCTGAATCGGTGTAGACAAGTTCTCCCTTTGCAGCTTTGTCTGTCAAAGGTAACAAGCAAAGTTTGGTCTCTGGGTCAACCACACATCTCTCCATGAGCTGTAGGTAGGTGAGGTTTTCATGTGTGTTGGGGTCAAAGAAGCCCTTTGTGTCATCTGTGGGATCAGATAAGGTTTTGTTCATTTCTTCATCAAAGTAGCCTCGCTTGTAAGCTACATCCAGAGGCAGGCGATGGCTATTGACTGGATCGACAATGCCTCCAGTGGCGATCTGGGCCTCCAGAAGCCGAATTCCATGGTCTTTGACAATGAGGTCCTTATTCATGGCTTGGAAGAGTGAGATTTTCTCTCCAGTGTATGGATCCTTGTACCCAGTGATTGCCCTCTCAGCGGATAACAGTTTGTTGTGAACTTCAGGCCCAATCACATTCTCTTTCACTGCTTCGCTTACAGTCAGTCTCTTGTTTCCCACTGGATCAGTGATAAAGCCAGAGGCAGCCTGGGCTTCTAGAAGAATGAGGGCAGTGCCTGGAGTGACCAGCTTCTTCTTCATGGCATTGTAGATGCTCATCTTTTCATTGCTTGGTTTAAGCAAGAGGCCAGCAATGCTGCTCTTTCCCTGCAGGTATCTCCTGATCTCTTCCCTCTTGGAGAGGTCATCTACAGTCAATTGTCCACTGGCTAGTTTGTCCAACTGTTCTTTGGTCAAAATTCCAGCCTCAAACAGCTTGTCTGGAGAAATTTTCTGTCTTAAGCCATCAAATGCGTTAAGTAATTCTCCATTCTGAGCTGACCCATCGGCAGCATCTCTGCCATTGGGCATAGTTTTGGTTTGGGTAATGACTGTCTCTTTAGTAATTATGACCTCTCTTGTTTTCTCCAAGGCGATTCTGTGTTCCTGCTCCAGTTGTTCAAGCCTCTCCCTCAGCTTCCGGTTTTCTTCCTCCAGCAGCCTCTCCTGTTCTTGTCGCTTCTTATCCAGCTGCTGGAGTTCTTCCTGTTTCTGTCGGATTCTGTCCTCGGCATCCAGCTGCTTCTTCATAGCATCATCCATGCTGGTCTGTAGAAGCCTCTTCTCCTCCTCCAGCTGTGCAAGCTGCCGTTCTTTTTCGGATTTCAGCTTCTGAGCTTTGCCGACTTCATTGTCGAAGAGCTTCTCAAGCTTGGCTTTCTCTTCTTCAATGTACTTCTCTTTCTGAATCAGGATTTGCTTCTCCGTGAGGAAGGTAGACTGAAGAGTTTGGGTTTCTTGACGCAGCTGTTCCTTTTGGGCTTTCTGCATCTACAAGACACAAAATGGCACATGGTGAATTCCACGGGTATTACCAACTCGGAGCAATACACAGAATGGGGAGCTACTGGCGCTCCTATGAATGTATTACATAGTTGTAGTATAGATAATCTCTTTCTAATCACTTCATGTAGGTCTAGAATGCAATACTTAAAACCCATTGAATTGAAATTTGGATAAAATCACCAAGTTGCTTCTGCTAGTCACTTTAAAGGGAACTACTAAACAAAGTAACAAGAATAAGCAGAAGGAGGAGTGCGGACCATGTCATGTTGTAATGCTCCACATTATGGAAAGATTACAAGGATCATTTCAGATAAATTCAATGTCCGTGTATATGATTGAAACCTGTGTGCTAATGTCTTGGGCAATCTTTTGGCAGCTTTTTAGGCCTGCTTTTCCGAGCAGCTTTTTTAGATTATACACTATATGGCCAAACATATGGACACCCTACTATCAACACTAGGGATGCACAGATACCGTTTTTTTCGGTATCGAGTACCGATATTTCTTTTTCGGTACTCACCGATACCGAATACCGATACCGGAAGTCCCATTAAGGAAGCCAGGTGGTGAGTAACGACTTGCCACCTGATTAGCCGGGGAAGTAGGTGATGAGGAAGGATGGAGCTGACTTTCCTGCCAATCAGGAGACCAGGGGGCAGGTAATGACTTGCCGCCTGGCTTCCTGATTGGCCAGCTTCTCAACCAATCATGAGGCCGGGCAGCGAGTCATTATACGGCGGCCAGCTTCCCGATTGGCCAGGAAGCCGGCTCCATCCTCCTTTGTCACCATGTAACAAGGGAGCATGATGCCGACTTTCTGGCCAATCAGGAGCCCAGGGGGCAGGTAATGACTCGCTGCCTGGCTTCCCGATTGGCTAGCTTCTCGACCAATCAGGAAGCCAGGCAGCGAGTCATCACACGGTGCTTCCTGATAACAGAAGTTCGGGTATCGGGCTAGGCATCGGAGCATTTGAGCGAGTACGAGTATCGGTGCATCCCTAATCAACAACTATTTGAGCTTGTTGGACATCCCATTCTAAAACCAAATGACTGAGTTCAGGTGTTTCCAGTGAAGGGGAATGTCAATGCTAAAACGTACAAAAGACATTTTAAACAATTGTGCACTTCCAGCTTTGTGGTAACGGTACTGGGACTGTTTTCTGTTCCAGGATGATTATGGAACCGGCTTTGTGCACACAGACCAGGTCTGATGGGGTGGTGTGGAGGAACCTGAAGCTCTAATCTCAACTCTACTAAACAGCTTTGGGATGAATTGGAAAGTTGATTGCAAGTCAGGTCTTCTCATTCAAAATCAGCACCTGACCTCAAACATGGGCACAAACTCCCACAGACACTTGGAAACCTTGTGGAAAGCGTCCCAATAGTGAACACTGTTATAGCCACAAAGTGGGGGCAGCTCCATAATATTGCCTGTGGTTTTGGATTGGGATGTCTAGAAAGCTCATATAGGTGCAAACACAAACCTTTGGTCATAAAGTGTAGACAGTAGAAGCAATTTCTCATACAGAACAATCTCACTAAACTACAGAGTCACATGTGTACAGAAGCCATCAAATCTTCCCTTAGCCAATTGATGAAGATGCAATGACCATTTCCATAAAGAGGGGTCAGCTATGGCACTCTGCATGTTCCTTCAGTACAGGTTTCCTTTTAAAAAAAAAGAGACCCTGCCACCTTACCCCATTCAGGTAAAAGTGACTGTCGCCTGTACTCACTTCTCCCAACACTCTACCACCTTTCCTTCTTTATTGGTCACCACTGCAAAAAACCCAGAGCTTCCATGTATGGGGGAGCATGTGACCTCCCTTCTATGACGCATTGCTCAGGCCCAGAAACCATAGCCCAGGCCCAAGCACTGTCACATTCTGACGATGGGTATTTTGGCAGCGGTGGCAGAGGAAAGAGCGGTGGCAAAAAAGCAGGAGAGGCAATTATATAGTGGTCAGGAGGTGGTCTTCACACAGAAGCTCTCACTTTTCCAGGGTCTCTTTCAATATGGGACGAGTTTAAAACACAAATGATAATAATGGATGATACCAAATGCAGGTCTTTACATGGCGGACCAAACCGAAAATGTGAAAGGAATAGGGTGATACATTTGCATTTCATGTTTGCTCACCATGATGCTAACAAATTCATGGCAATGTGTGAGAGACAGAATAATAGAAATAATACAAACTAGATACCTCTTCAGACTTCTTCTGCAAAAGCTCCGCCTCCTTCTTCAGCTTCTCCTTTTCATTCTCCAGATCGGCAATGGCCTTTCTCAGCTCTTCTGCCTCCTTGTCGCTATGCTGTCTCTGGATTTCCAGAGTGTGCACCACGGTCATCTTCTCCTTGGTGGACAGTTCTGTTTGGTGCAGTTTCTCGCTGATGTCTTCGGCTTGTTTCCTGAACTTTTTGGCGTCTTCTTCTGCCTTGGCCTGGGATTTGCTCATTTCTACCACCTGAAGTTTTAGTCGTTCAGCTTCGGCGCTGATGTCCAGCTGTCTGCGCCGCTCGGCCTCCAGGGTCTTTTGGAAGCCCTCGGTCTCCTCGGCAAGCTGCTGCTGCATCTGCTCCTTATCTTCTTGCAGCTTCTTGGCCTGTTCCATGGCCATCTCCTTCTGCTTCTGCAGCATTTCTGCTTCAGCTTTAAGGCGGCTGGCCTCCTGGACAGCTTGCATCTTCTCCTTCAGAATCTTCTCGGCCAATGCCCGCTGCTCATTCAGGTCATCCTCTGCAATCTTTCTTAAACGAGCGGCCTCTTGGGCCTCAACGCTCAGTCGGGCAGCCTCTTCGGCTACCTGTTTCATCTTCTCCGCTTCCTCAGCCAGGAATTGTTGGGTGTTGTCTTTGCCTTTCAGGATTAGCATTTTGTTTTCCTGTTCGATACGAAGCTTCAGTTTGACCAGCTCTTCCATCTGTATTTTAACTTTAAACAGCTCCTCTTCCACAAGCTTCTTTTGTCTCAGAGATTCGGTCACTTCTTCTTTCAGGCGCCCAAGTTCGTCATCCAAAATAGCTTTTTGGTGGTCGGTTTCCTCCAGCTGCAGTTTGACTTTGGTCAGCTCGCCCTCGACCTGCTCTTTTTGCCGGACTGTTTTCTCGGCGAACTGTTTGTGCTTTTCCATTTCTGCATCAGCCATTTGTTTGAGCTTCAGTGCTGCCTGCTCTGCCTGGCCCCGCTTAGCGGCTTCCAGTTCTGCTTCCTTTCGGACTTTTTCTGCATCTTCCTGAGCCTGTCCTTTGGCCTGGGCCTCAATTTCAGCCTTCTGTTTTAAACGTTCAGCTTCCTCTGCCTGCTGACGTGACAACGCAGCCTCGTGTTCAGCCTTTATTTTGGCACGTTCAGCTTCCTCAGCGGCACGCTTGGCCTTTTCCGCTTCTTCCTTTAACTTATCATAAATGCTCTGTTCCTGGATTCTGGTCTGCAGCATTTCTTGCTCCTTCTGTTGTACAGCAGCATAGTACGCCTTTTCTTCTGCATCAATTTTAAGCCTTGCTGCGTCTTGTGCTAACTGAATCTGCTTTTCAGCCTCCTTTTCGGCTAGGTCTTTTTGTTTTTTGGCTTCGTCAGCCTTGATCTTCAGTCTCTCGACCTCTTCTAAAGCCACTTTCCTCTGCCTTCCGGCCTCCTGTTCTGCTGCAATGATCTTCTTGACTTTTTCCTCAGCCTCTTTGCGCCTTGCCTCCTCTACCAGGGCCAGCTGCCTCTGCTTCTCTGCGTCTTGTTCCGCCTTTTCTTTGCTCTTTTGTGTTTCGTCTGCAATGTTTTTCAGTTTTTGGAGCTCTAGCTCCAGATCAGATTTGCCAACAGAGGCCTTTTCAAAGTTTATTTTCAGAATACGGATCTCTTCTTCGATCACTCTCCTGTGTTTGAGGGTTTCATCCACTATAGTCTTTTGCCTCTCCAACTCATTTTCTGAGGATTGTTTGAGCTGGTGGATCTTCTCTTCAATGTCTTGTTTATGCTGGGCAGCTTGCTCTTCCAGCAGTTTCCTTTGGTAGGCCTCATCCTCTGCCAGCCTCCTCAGGCGCTCATTCTCTGCCTCTTTCTCCTTAAGGGCAATCTCAGCCTCTGTCCTCATCCGTGTGGCCTCATTGATGGCAGTCAGTTTTTCTTTCAAGATTCTCTCAGCTTCAGCTCTCTGTCGGGTGGCATCTTCTTCAGCCAGCTGTCTCTGTCTCTTGGCCTCTTCGGACACAGCACGCAACCTGGCAGCTTCTTCTGCAAGTTCACGCAGTTTGCTAGCTTCAACTTCCAACATCTGCTTAGACTTCTCACTCGTGGAGCGGGAGTCCTCTTCCGCTTTGGATTTGGCTTTTAGAAGGATCTCCATTTCAGCACGGACCTTGGCCAGTTCTTCTTCCAGTCCTCTTCTTCTCTGGATGGCTTCATTCACTTCATTCTTAAGGCGGAAAAGATCCTCCTCGAGAACAATGCGGTGTTGTTCTCCACTGTCTACCTCGGCTTTTAGACGAATCAGCTCTTGCTCAGCAGAAAGTTTATGGGAGGCTGTTTCTTCGGCTAACTTCCTCTGTTTCTCCAGCTCTTCCTCTGCCAGATCCTTCTGGCGCAGAGCAGACTCCTCAGCCTTGGTTCTTTTGCGTGTCTCTCTCTCTGCATCTTCCTTCTGTTTCTCAGCCTCCTCCTGCGCCAGGGTTTTCTTGTGTGCAATCTCCTCAGCCTGCAGTCTTAAGCGCAGTGCCTCGTTAGCCTTCTGCCTCCACTTCTCCAGCTCCTTCTCGGCTTCCTCCTTGGCGGTTTCTGCCTCCAGCTGCTGCTTTTTCAGACGTTCAGCCTCCTCTTGCAGGTGAGTGACTGTGATGTGTTCTTGTTTCAAGGACATTTCCAGCTGGGTAGTCTTCTCCAGGAAGGACATGCGTTTGCTCTGGAGCTCCGCATCCGCACTCTGTTGGGCCACGTCATGAGCTTGTTTGATCTGTCGCTCTTTCTCGAGCTCGGCTTGTTTCATTCTCCTCTCAGCCTCCTCTGCCTGAAGTCTAAACTTCTCCAGATCTTCTAAAGCTTTCTGTTTTTCCCTGGCCGCATCTTTCTCAGCCTGAACCTTGCGATGAAGCTCATCTTCAGCCTCGCGTTTTTTCTGCGCCTCGTCCTTCACCTGTTTTCGCAAACGTTCAGCTTCTTCCTGAGCTAGTTTCTTTTGTCTTTCTGCCTCTTCCGCTCGAGCCCTCAAGGCCCGCAGTTCATCTTCTGCACCCGACTTTTGCTTCTGGCTGGTTTCCAGCTGAATGCGGATGATTCGGATCTCCTCCTCGACTTTCTTGCGGTTGTATTCTGCCTCTTCGATCAGCTTCACCTTTGCCTTAATTTCCGTTTCAGAGTTGTTCTTCATCTGATGCAGCTCTTGCTGAATGGTCTTTTTCTGCTGTTCGGCATCAACAGCGACCACCTCTCTTCTGGTGACCTCTTCTTGCATGTTCATCCTCAGTTCCAAGGCCTCTTTTTCCGCCACGGCTTTTGCCTGTGCATGGGCCTCAGCCAGCTGCCTCTGTTTCTCCAGCTGGTCCTCTACTTCTGCCAGCTTCTTCCTCTCTTGTTCTTTAAGCTTCTCTGCCGTTCTCTGAAGAAGGGTGGGTGGGGAACAGAGGTAGGATGGGTAAGGGCAGGTGGGAAGGGGAGGGGGGTGA